GAAATTTATTAAAGTTTTGTGATTGTTCAAAAACTATATATTAAATTTTAAATGTAAGATGATCCTGTTTCCATGGTTTTTCTTTTGAATTTCGCCTTTCTTTTTCTTTACCTTTCTTTACAACTTTTTTCTGTTGAACTTGTGAATCACAATTCGCTCTCTCTCTTGAATGAAATATTTTATGCTCCTTTAAAAATGTTTTTGATGGAAAATATTTACAGCATTTTTGATATACAAGATTATTATATAAATCCGGGGTAATACTAGGGTAATATTCATCATAGCCTGGTAACTTGTTATTAAAATATTCTAGAATGTAAACCAGACTTAAAAAATGACCATCAATGCCTTGTATAATAGGTGGTAGAAAACCATTATACTTGGATAAAAGTTCATAGATTTTGGGCGCACGTGGTGGTTTGCAACAATTCTGATCCTGGCACTTTCTTAAATCAAGAGAGTATTTACAGATCTGACTATACCTATCGATCTAATCCCATGATTCCTTGTTTATATCTAAAAAATCTGACTGATCGTGCTCCTCGACGTATGTGGTAATAACTGGATAACCATTAATATTATTACAGCCTCAAAGTTTACAAAGTCTCTCGCCCACATGTTCAAAATTACGACGACCAACATCCTCATCCACAATGGTAACTTTTTTATCAACATTTCCAAGATGATTACTATATGTAAAGGCATTTAATTCGATTCCTGCCAGCTTTCCAGAAAGGGATGCCATACTTCTCTCAACTGAATTATATGCAGATTGCCTCAGAGCGTGTGTACGAACTGTAAGGTAGTCAAAGTCGAGTTTTTTAAAAAGTAATAAGTACTTTGAGATGTTTGCAATGAACTGGGAATTTTCATCTAGTCCACCATCTGTCAGCAGACACCAAAATGGTTTTACAGAACCTTTATGATGCGTAAATTCATTATAGGGTTCTTCTTTTGTGATTGACATAAGGTTTACCATGTGTGTCTCGCTAGATGTACTCAAAAAATACTCTGGTCAAATAAAAATTCTCATTTTATCAGAACGCAATGAATTATTCGTATTAGAAGGGTTTATCATTAGATAAACGGATGGTATTAATTTGTATTTTACAGCCTTTAGAAAATCGTGATCAGGAACTGATACTGGTTCGTTTGTTGTTTGTATAGTTTTAAACGTTCTCCCAACCGTGACCACACCAAGAGGAACCTACAAAACTTGAAAATTGTAAAATTGGAAACTTATATTGAAAAAAAGGTTGCAAATAGATACCTTGGATTTGTCATCTTGAGAAATCAACACAATTTCATTAGGAAAAGCCGATGCGAATGATTTAATACCTTTTACAGAAGCTAAACAATAATATTCATCAACGTGACTGGCCTTCTCATTTCTCCCAACGGATGCCAAACTGATTTGCGCGGGATGATAATGTCGTTGTGCTTCTCTCATTTTTGGGTACCTAGGTTGCATATAATTTTGCACAGTGGACTTTGTCATATAAACACCATACTTCTCTTCCATCTCTTTTCGAAGGTGCTTAACGGTTCGAACCTTAATTGTTTCCTTGCGTCTTTTATGATCAGCCGCTCCAAATTCAATACAATTATACATTTTATTCAAAAGCTCAGGATCATTCATCAGAAATGATAACCGACCTAGCGTATCATACATCTCAATGATGTTTTCTTTATTCAATTTTTCCTTCTTTTTCTTCCAAGCTCATTTTTGAGCTTCTGCATTTCCCTTTAACTTTTTGAGTTTCCTTTTATCTAACACAACCATCTCCTCAAGCTCTTTAATTTTTGAAGTGAATTGTGAACAAAGTTCTGAAGATGTAGCTGCTTTTAGCAAATTATTGTATTCATACAAATCAGCTTTATTCTTTTGAAGATTTGCATGCAAGTGCCTTTGTACTATTGCGTTTTGTGAAGAATTGTTGGTAAGTAGTTCTAAGAGTTTTAGTGGTTCTGAGGGTTTGGAAGATTCCGGAGAATTGGGAAGTTCTGGAAGATCTGAAACTTCTGGAACTTTTGAAGATTCTGAAGTTAACTTTGGAGAATTCTTTACGGATGTTTGTTGTGGAAAAAAAGTTAAATAACGAGATTGAACAGGTTGAATGGATGTTTGTAGCAATTCAAAAATATGATTTCAAATAAAATCTTTGCCTTTCAATCTCACTTCTTGCCAACTATTTTGAGCTTGTTCCTGAAGCTCTTGTTTACTCAGTATTTTATTTTTGGTTTTTATAATTTCACAGAATGCAAAAGCATTCACATACTTCTTATAAAGATTTCTGGGATTTCGAATGATATGATTTTTGGAGTACTTTGGTTCCTTAAAGTATGTTTGCTTCATTATGACAATCCAGCGAAAGAAAAAACTGCATAACAATCGTAACTTTTTATCTGCGTAGATTTATTTTTTTTCCTTTTAGGAAAAAAATCCATTTTAAGACCCTCTTATAATTAAACTTGATGAACACATGTATTTGTATCAAATTTTTAAAATTATATCACTATTCTAACTTTAAAAATTAGCCAATCGATTTAAAATGGAAATAAATTTTGTGTCACGTTATTTTGTTGCAGGACCCCCCTAAAAAATGGAAATAAATTTTTGTGTCACGTCATTTCGTTACAGGACCCCCCTCAAAAAATGGAAATACCTAAAATGGAAAATATATTTTTGTATCACATCATATTATAATAAAACCCCTCCTCCCTTTACTAAATAACATCATTTCTGGCCCTCCCCTAATGGAATAAAACAGAATTTTTATGAATTTTAAATAATTTTATTCTGACACGTGACAACTAACCAATCGTTATTACAGTATTATTGAATTTATCGTGATGGAATTTGTAAGAATTCCATAGTAACCGGTAAATGTCAATTATTTTATTTGGCCAAAATTATTGTCATGTCACTATCGCAACTTAGATCAGCCTGCATTAAGATGTGAGCCGGTTAGAATTATCAAATGTTTCTTACTATAATTGGTAATTTTTTATCAGAATAAAATCGTAATTTTTCCCGTTATCGTGATAAAAATTTGTAATTTGATATCAGAATAATTTTGGGTCTCTGGTGGACTCACTTTGAAAGTAATAATCAGTAGAATTTTCACGTGAAAATGTGTTGTGTTTTGATGTCGAAACGTTATTAAGTAATAGCAATTATGGTCTTATTGCATGTGTTGCATCCTCGAGTGCTTGGTATACCTGGATATCACCATATTTAATTGAATTTAAAGAAAAGAGATTAAGAGAATTTTCCAGGAAAAATGGTGAGTATAATAAAAAATAAGAAAAAACCCTAAAGTGAATTTTATGGAATGATGAGACAAGATCGAAAAAGACAAAGCTATTAAAAAATTTTGAAATAAATAACATTTCAGATTAGAATAATCAAAATTCGGCAAATGATGAAAGTATTATTGGAAAAAATAAAAAAAACCTACTGCTAGGAAAAAGAAAGGGAATAAGGATCTTGAGAGTATAGAAAATGAGAATAAAGTAGATAACTTAAACCTTATTAAAGCTCACAAAATTGTTAATTTAATACCAATGGGAAAAGACAAGATAATAATCGGTCATAATGTTTCATTTGATCATGCAAGGATTCAAAAGGAATACCATTATAAAGCATCTGATAATAAAAAAAAATTTTTTTTTAATTCCTTATGTGTTACTAGTTACGAATGGGATTGAAAAATTCTTGAATAATACATATATATCTTTTTGTTTTTATAGTGAAATAAATTCAGGATTTTTTTATTCATCTGCTGAGCAACGAGAAAAACTTGTAGAATCAGAATGCAAATTTACGGATGAAAAAGTAAAAAAAATTGTTGAATTTAAAAAAACAAGTATGTGAAGATATCAATAAAGGATTTGTTGTTATTAATCAAAAGGGAATTGATTTCTTGTCATTAGATCTTCTCTGTAAAAATGAAATTCTTACATTAAAACGTGCCAAGAGAAGAAATATGGAAAGGTGATTTATTTTATCATGTATTTCCTTTATTTTTTTATTTTTTTTTAACACAAAATTAATTTTTTTAGATTACAACTTATTTGTGAAGGAATCGCACAAAATTCTGTAAATGATTTATCTTCAGAAATTCTCAGATACACAGGACTTATTTATGAACACACTCTTGAAAAAGAAAAATATACCTTTGTTGAAGAGGTTAAAAATTCAAAATCTGTTATAATATTGGTTAAAAGACCTAATTCTCACATAATTGCACAGATTAATGATGCCATCCGTGATAGATTATGAGTCGTAAAGAATGCAATTGAAAATAAATGTATAGTACAGCATTTTAAGTTGGGTTTTCAGCTCACTTGAATAAATTTAAAAGTTCAGTCAAGAAGAAGGTCAAGATAGGAGTTTAAGCATTTGCAAACGCAATGTTAATAATTCCTAAAATTTTATCATAAAATGGAGAATTCAATGCTCAGAATATTATTGTTGCTTTACAGGTGAGTTTAATCATCATTATTCAAAGAACATTTTAATTTAGAAATTTGTGCATACGAAATGACCAAAACATATCATTGTATTATACTATTATGTAAACGAATATTTGATCAATGAAACTTTTTTTAATAGGAAGAATTTGCAGCAGAACATATTGTAGGAGTTGATTTAAATACAGGAAATACACTTGACCCTATCGTGAAGGGTATTTGAGATAATTATCATGTCGTTCATCATATGTTACATTCCTGGTAAGATTATTAATGTTATTGCATTCTATTCGCAAATAAACTTTCAAAAAGCTTAACCTTTCGCAAAATATTTAAGTTTTTTTTTTATTTAATGTTCGTTACTGCCACTTAGACTTCTTCTATCCTTAGTGTTTCCTTGTATACACATTATCACTGATATTGCAACAGTAAAATAACAGTATTTCGTTCACCAGATAGCGTGCGACTTCATAATGTCTCAAATATTGTGATTTCACCACCACCACCACCACCTCTACTACCACCAAAAAAGAATTTTTCTATGCTTAGGTCTCTAGTGTCAAGCAAAAAGAGAACCTTCAATGGTAGAAATAACATCTCAACTCCTGATTTCCAACTTATGAACTCATCAGTGATATCAAGTCAAAAATTAATTTCAAATACAAAGGACTGTAAACCCTACTGGAACAATCATTCGAAGGTCTTATCAGAGAGATTGTGACTACCCATCATAATCAATTATGCAGGTTCATCTACAAATTCCTCAAGCACAAGTTCTCACTCAACTTTATAAAACTCGTGATTCTCTTTGACGATTCAACAACTGACAGACATGAGCTGTCTAAAGATATTCTTGCTATCAACATCTTCATCTGCAGATTGCAAAGAAGAAGAGCAGCCAAACATAGAAGAAAAAAAAAGAAAAGAAAGAAAGTATTAATAATAAGAAAAACAAAAGAAGAAAAAAGGACGAAAATGTGAATAGAATATTGAAAGTGAAATTGTATCTAAACCTTGTACAAAAATATATAATAAAGTAATGAATAGGGCTGTCAAGATTGATCTATAATACAATCATTAACTATTTGCAGAAAAGACAGTTTTTGATTGTGCATGAAGATAAAAATGTGAATAAATAATAAACTTTTCAAGTATAAAATTTTTGAGAAGGATTGCGTATTTAAAATTGAGAAGTAAGAAAGCCTATAATGATATGCTAAATAACTTAATTGATAAAACTGTAGATGAAACCATTAAAAATTTCAATTCAAAAGATAACAAAACTAGGTTGAAGTTCAAGACTAGAAAAGATCTAAAGCACACTATCACTATATGTACACAAAATTTCTCAAAAAAATATTGGAATAAATTTTACATATCATACCTATTCAAAAATACTGATTATATGAGAATATCAAGGAAGAAACCATATGATCACCTAAAAGGATCAAGAAATTTAGAAGCTTTGCATTTTGAGATCAAGAGAAAAAATATCAGTTGATTATCAGAACAGATCAATAATGATTGCAAACTCACATACTTTAGAAAAACTAATGAATAGATCTTATTGTAGGTATATGAAAGACAAAAAAATCAAAAGAAACATACAAGAGATTTGTGGCTATCGATCCAGGAGTTGAACTCCATTTGTAATGTACTTACTTACAAAAGAAATCACAGAGATTAGTAAGAATGATTCGCAGAGGTTAGTAAGATTTTGCTTGCATGCAGACAAACTAAGTTCGATAAGGGACAAGCTTAAGAACTCAAGTTCTAAGAGAAAAAAAAAGGCTAAAAGAATTGATAAAGCAATCTTAAGAATTTTTAGAAGAATCTAGAATCTGAAATGAATTACACAAGAAAACTGTGAATTATCTTGCAAAAAATTATGATATTATTATTATACCTAAATTTAATGTTTCAAATATGGTGAGATGAAAAAAGAGAAAAATTAATTCAAAAACTATGCAAAATATGTTAACATAGTTACATTACTCATTCTGATAATGGTTAAAATACAAAGCCGATGAGGCTGGTATGAAAATGATCATATAAAATGAAGCTTATACCTCAAAAACATATTCTGTATGTGGAAACATACAGAATATTAGAAGGAGAAAAGTTTACAAAGGCAAGAAATGTGATGTAATTATAGACTGGGATGCAAATGGAGTGTGGAGGATATTTCTTCGCGTGTTGCTTAATAGAGCTATATGCATGCATATGTAGGAATTTGGTAATCATGCTTAGCAAAACTTAATATAGATTATTAATGATGTATTTCAATCCATCCGTTCATTATATCATTGTAATATTAGTAGACTTTGGTGATATTAATAAATATATATGGCTTTTGTTCTCATAAATAACAATTCAAACTTTTTATGTTCTTTCAATATTTCCTTCATATTTTCTCTCTTTCTTCCCCTTACTTTTTGTAATTACCACAATATACATTAAGATAAGAAATCCAAAATACTTATTTTAAGCTTAAAAATATGGCAAATAAAATCTTTAACTCAAATGTTTTAAAGATTTGACAAGTTTTTGATTTAGATAGACATAAAGCGTTCCTACTACCTCTATCACCAATAAAAGCATACAATTTATTAATATTTAAAAATTGATCAAATCTTAGACGTAATATTACAACCATAAAAGGTTTATTAAATTTAATCGTGTCTTAAAAGGCAGAACAAATTTAAATTACTAACAAATAAGTTATTAGTAAAGTTTCTTGTATCTTATATAAAGAAGTTAGTCAAAGTGAATTGTAAGAATACAAAAAGTTATCACTTGCTGTCAATAGTATTATTCTTCATAAAAATGGTCTCAGAAATAACATTATTACTTCTTCTTGATGGAGAATCTTCAATATAATTATTTTTGAGAAATCTCAACTTAATCTTAATTTTATGATTTTTAATTAATTTTAAAAATTTTTCTTTCGTGTCTTAAAATATTTTAACGTAACTACGAATTGGCCAAAATCTTAATTTAAATCTGAATATTCTTAATTAAAATCATTTTTCTCATTCGAACAAAATTAAATAAAGCACTTTCTCATAATAAATTTTTAGATAAATCTGATTTTATGTCTGACATAATTATTTTTTTTTTATTTTATAAGTTTATGAGTCAAACTTTTCTTTTATTTTGAGGGATCATCTCATGCCAAAGTTAATATTTTGACAATTTTTTTTTTAATTGTAAACTTGAATATTTTACGTTTTTTAAATATTCTTTTCTGCAATTATGCTAAATAAATAAATATATATATCATATATAGTAACCAAATTTTCGTAACATTTCAAATTTTTTTTTTTAAAATAAAATCTTATAATTATAAATAATAATAATAATAATAATAATAATAATTACCATGACAAAGTAATTCTTTTACAAGTAAATCCCTTATTATTTGACATTTCATGTGAACAATAAAATGATAAAATTAAATTGTTTCGAATGTTTGAAATTACGCAAAATTTATACTTAAAATTTATTTAAGATTAAAACCTCATAAAATAAACTTTTAAACAATAACATTTATAATAACATAAATAATTTTATGAATGTTATTACACTTGATATAACCTGTATTATATTACAATAATAATAATAAATATTCTTTATGAAAAACTTTTATCTGATAAATTTTTTTTTAATTACACCAAAAGTTCTATTTATTGCCAAAAAGTATTGATGACTCAAACACAAAATCTTCTATATATATATATAAAAATAGTTAATTATTGCATAAAATCAGAATTTAGATGTCTTCAAAGTAAAGTTAACATAAGAGAATTTGTCATTGAATATAAAATATTTATATTTTTTATTACTAAAATTTGCCATGGCAAATACTCAATATAAATATAATTTTTACATTTGCAAAAATAATAAATAAATAAATTAATTAATTAGAAATATTCATGAAACTTAAAGCTTATCCAAGGACTCAAATATCTACAAAGATAAGATAATGAATTATCACCGATTTCTTTCAAAAAAAACTTTTAAATATTTTTAGAATATCTTGCCCAATATTATGTAATTTGAATCTTAGAGTCTTCAATATCCTTTAAAGAAATTTACAAGTATTAAACTTAAAAGATTCTGTTATTTATCTGAAGTATACCATAAAGATAGAGTTAATCTAAGTATATATATACAGTAAGTCAGTAAGTTAAAAGCGAAATTTAAATTTGTTTTTTTTTATTAATCAATTTTATTAAATAAATGTAATATGTAAAATTTAATAAGTTATAATAGAAGAGGATTTTAATAATAAATTTTTATTGTAATAAAATAACTGAATGAAAATAGTATAATTAATGTTTATTAATAGATGATAAATTTATGATCACAGTATTATTCAAAATTGAATGAAAAATAAGATATCTGAGATACATTGCCAAGTAATATATTATGCATGTGGCTATAAATGAAAATGGTTAAAGAAACTGATGAATATCTGAAAAATATAAAATCATCACTTATATAAACAAGCAATTTGAATTATGAATCTGTAATAGTATTACTGTAAATCATAAAGCTGTAATAGAATTGATTATTATAGTCAGGGAATATACCAAAAAAGGAAACAGATTCTAAAATATCTATTGCAGATTCTTGAAATTTGATTGATTCATATATTCATTTTATACTTGTATTTTAAAAAAATTTTTTATAATAATTGTTTAATATAAAAAACTTTTAAAACAGATAGAACAAGACGTCTAGTTTTTATAATCACAAATAATCTCATATAGTTAAGTCTATTCTGTTAAAATAAATAAAAATTTA